CCAGTAGTTCTCATTTGAAATTTCCCACGTGCGCTGTGCTGGTCCCCAGCTCAGGCTGACGAGTCAGTGGGGTGGGAACGTGCTGGCGTTCCCACGTCTCCACTGCACTCCTGACTTTTCATTAGCCCACAGGGGTGGTGCCTTCTCTTGTTTCCTTCTTTCCAAAAAAGAAGCCCTTGTAGGAATCGTATGGTATCAGCCCTTAGAATGAGCTGACAGTTTTCTCCACTCTGTTCTGGAGCGCTTATACATTCCAATGCAATGATTAGCGCAATATCAGTTTCAGAAGCAACGACTTTCACAACAATTAATGTGTTAATGATTCAGTCAGTGAGTGCTTTCTGCCTTACAATGATACCAGTGACCATTTCCAGATATGCACGACCCTTTTGTATTTCCATGTTCCCACAGAGGGTCATTTTGTTATCCAGTTTTAAATTGTTGTTGATATCAGAAATGGAGGGTCATGACTTAAAGGTAAGGGGATCTAAGGAGTATGGGTACTAAACCAAAGGCAAACAAACAGCAAAAATATTTTTTTCCAGCAATATATTGTTGCAGTATTTATTCAAGAATTACTGAGCACCCATTTTCTGCAAAGTGCTTTCTGAATGTCAGTGAACAAAGCAAATGAAAATTCCTGCTTTCCTAAAGTTTGCATTCTTTAGGTTTTAATAAGCATAATATTGGGTTGTTGGGAAAGTCATGAGGTATTTTTCTATGTTTTTCAATGCAAAAATGCATCATGACTTTCCCGATGACCCAATAGATAAGTAAATTATATAGTGAGTTAAAAGGTGATAAAGCTATGGAAAAAAAGAAAAAGCAGAGCAATGAAAGGGACTAGGAGTATATATGTTGGCGCAGGTCACATTTATACAGAGTGCTCAGGGTGGGCTTTGTGGCAAAGGTACCACCCAAAAGTGCTTTGACGGGACAGCCATTGGATCAATTTAATGTAATAATATAATAGAAGCGATATTTTTGAGTGCCTGGTATATGTCATTTCTTGTCCCAAGTGCCTTAAAATGTCATTTTAAATTCTCAAAATAATCCTACAAAGTAGTTAACCTCATCTCTTTCTTTTTACAACAGGAAAATGAAATATTTTGGAAGTTAACCATGAGGCCAAAATGACTTAGCAAATATATGGCTGAGCAGGGATTTGAATTCGGGTAGCTCATTCCAAAGCTCGTGGTCTTCCTACCATCTTGGATGTTTCCCAAGAATGTGGTTGCCCAAGGTGTGGTTAGGAAAGTACTAGAGTGCCCTGGAGGGAGTCACCAGAAAGTGCAGATTTCTGGGCCCCATCCCAGTGCTACCCAACCTGATTCTCTGGAGCGCAGCCCAGGAATCTGAATATCTGACACATTTCCTTGTGCCTCCACTGCATGCTTAAGTTTGAAAAGCACTAAGACTATCTGCTGCCTGGGCCTTTCAATAGAGCGGCCATGATGGCTGTTATCATGACCTACGTCCAGCTCTAGGAATTCCAACCCAATGCCTGAGAAGTGAGCAACCGGTGCAAAAGCCTGTCCTGGCCAGACTCCTGAACCAAGTGTCAGCCTCTGAATCCAGGCACTTCTTCTGTGTTATGGGACAAAGCCAGGTTCTTTTCTGCCCTTTTCCATTAAGTCAGACACTGGCCACTTGGGAGAGGCAGCAGAAAATGAAGGATGTTATTAACACTCAGAACAGGCTTTGGGTCCTGGCCAGGCCTCTGTGGGTTTTTACATCTCTCCCATCAGTTTTTCTGTGGAATCGCTGCCTCCAGGGTACATTCTGCCTTCAAGGACAAACCCACAGCCACCTTTTCTCACAAGTCTTCCTTTCTAATGCCAACGGGGAGCGAGGCCTCTCTTTGTGAGTTCATAAACCCCTCCAAGGACGGTGAAACGGAACAACTGCTAACTACCTTTACCTATCAGGCCCTGTCTAGCTCCATCCTTCCTTGTTTTAGTTTAAAGTGTTGTACTAACTCTGAAAGCTTCTTAGAAAATGAAACAGCTATATTCGTGATTGGCTTTTTGTCCACCCACACAGACCACCTTTGCCAACCAGACGCCAGCTTTGGTATAACCAAGTGGACTATGAAATGCCAAAGATGCCAAGAGAATCTACAAAGTGGCGAGGTTAACTTTCCTCTGTGGATTATGACAATCAAAGAGGTGAAGTCAGTCCTAGGGCACAGAACTGTGCAGATTTTTGAAGTAGAAGGGACCTTGGTTAATCATTCATTCTAACCCAGTCCTCTGATAACTAAAGAAATAGAAATCTAAGAAGGTGAGTTCACATAGCTAATAGGTAGCAAAGATAGGACTATAGCAAACTCTTCTGGTTCCAGAGCCAGTTTTCTTTTTCCTGATCCAGGCTTGGAATATTTGTCCCACCTCTCTGCTCACCCCACTGCCCTTTTGCTCAACATATGATTCCCACTGTCCGTCTAAGGAGATCAAGAATGCTTACATTCATGTTTAACTTAGCCTGAGAAACCTAAACTTAATTCCTCCCTGCCCGAACCTCTTCATACGTGTAAGGAGTAAAGATTAGTATTATGGAAATCACATGTCACAGAACTACCTCCGAGCCATTCCTTCATTCAACCAACATTTCCTGTTTCTACCATGTATCAGGCACAGACGTAATGCAGTAAAGAAAATAGATGGAAAAGGACAAAAATTTATCCTGTCATGGAGCTATATTCTGGTGGGGAAACACTCCACAAACAAGAGAAATTAGTCAAACCCTATATAGGTGGTGGTGAGTGCTGAGGAGAAAAAGCAGGAAAAGGGAATAGGAAGTGAGGCTGTGTGTGTGTGTGTGTGTGGGGGGAGCTATATTTTAGACACAGTAGCCAGGAAAGGCCTCATTGAGAAGTAAAGACCACAACTGGGGGACCCAAATGTGAGCTATTACCCAAGAAAGTCTTGACATCGATTTCTACAGAGAACAGCAAACAAAGGTCAGATTTGGAAAATGCTGGAAAAGATGGAAAATGACCCTCTTCTGCTGTTTTTAGTAGCCTGGGTAGCAGGAAGTGGGAGGAGAGTAATGGCACAATTAAAATGGTGGCAACTATACTTCCAAGGGGGCCAGGAAGAGTTTTGTTAATATCGGAGATGAGAAGAAATGTCTGATGGTTTGTGGTTTCATATAAAGAACTTTGCTTAGAATACAGCATTTAGAGAACAGAATTAAGATTGATGAAGGTACTATTTTGTTTAAAAAAACTCCAGAGAGCATGAAGTAATGCCAAGACTCCTTGGCAAGATGATATGTGACTTAAAACTTGATGAAAACGTTGAAAAGTTCAGTCATTTGATTCATCCAAATATGTAATTAATTATGAGGATTTTGGCTGAGGTGTGAAATTTATATAGAGTCAATGACTAATTCCACAATTTTTGAAAGTTTACTGTGTACAATGCACGGGCGGTGTTTCAGAGACTCAAAGAGAAGCAAGACATGGCTCCACCTCAGTGAACATTTCACCATGGTAAATGAATTTTCTGTCCCTCCTGGGCATCCAGTAGAAATGCATTTCCCAGCCCCCCTTGCAGTTAAATATGGCTTGTGGGTGAGTTCTGGCCAATGGGATGTGAGTGGACATGATGTATGTCCCTTCTAGGTTTGGCCCATAAATCCTAGGGGATTGGAGAGTCTCAAGATGCAAGGAGGTGGTCCCTAAATCACCACCTAGAAGGCTGTCAACCAAACATCTGATTGAACTTTATGTCAACAAGATTTTCATGCCTGTTGTGTTGAAGACTGAGATTTGAACCAGCTCAGAATTTGCATAGAATTTTACAGTTTGCAGAATACTTTCACATATCAAGTGATTCTGGGAACCACCCTGGGAAATAGGTCATATTTTCATTTTTCCCATTTCACAAAAGCTGAAGTTGATGCTTATTGAGTATTGAATTATTTGGTCATGATCACATAGGGTAGGATATAGGGGGAAACAATTTTAAATGACTGGCTCTCAAATTTATAAAAAAAATAACTGGTATAGAACAAGTATGGAAGTAAATCTAATGCAAAGCATTTGACAAATATAGACAAAATGTTAAGGAGATTCAAGAGGCAGCTAGCACACTTGTTCAAAGAAGACACGAAAGGCTCTAACAGAATAGGTAAGATTTACAGTGAGTGAGTGCACACTGACAAGAGAAATTGGAGAAGAAACATGGAGAAAATTCCTGTAAATTTTGAGATGCAATATGAGTGGTGAACAGACATAGAGGAGAGTTGGCATTTGTTCCAATGTTTCAAGGGAAGTTGGAGCAAGCAATGCAGTTTTTTGAAGGAAAACAGGAACTGGTAATTCAATACAAATCAAAAAAATATTTATTGAGTGCCTGCCAGATGAAGGGCCTTCCAAAAGTGTACAGAGGATACAGAGAGGAGATAACAAGGGCACAGCCCATGTTTCAGATGTGTTTATAATCTACTGGGGGGAATAGTGAGAAGTGACTGCTGCACAATGTTAAGATATTCATCAGTAAGAACAGTAATAGGGTTCAAGGCACAGAAATGACATGGGAATGTGACATGAGAGGGACATAGGAAAGACAGGTGAAGCTCCCGAGAGGAGGTAAACTGTCAATCTTGACCTTGGAGGAGGTGCCATCTCTGAGGATGGTTATGAATATATGAATTTATGAGGGCCACATATAATTCCCAAAAGAAGGGTTTTATAAATATTTTGAGCAAGGAAAGTGTATATGAATAATTAAATGACTCTAAAATGTGACCATTGTTTAGGGGACAACAAAATGAAATTTCAAATTTGAATATGTTTGTTTAAACATGGAATCACAAACTTACAGTGATACCATAGGTTGTAAATTTCTATTTCTATCCAAACTGCCTGGCTTCCAATGAGTTCAGTGACCAGCACGGTAGGCCAGAAGGTGGTGTGCGTGAGTTTCATCATGCCACCAAGAGGCAATCAATAGGCAGTTTACTGAGATGCCCTGCAAAGAAGGGCCACCTACCATGAACAGGGCTTCATAATTTTCAATCATTTTCTGCACCACAGCAATGATGGCTGTGCTCTCCTCAGCACGGGCTGAGCTCTGGACCGAGAATTCCTTGTCTGATAACTTCTGCTTGTGCAGCAGGTTGGGTCCAAATATGGTGGCCAAGTTTAGAGATGTCATTTTGTTCCCAGTGACCTATAGGAGCACAGAATACAAGGGTTATTGTTAGGTTTTCTTTTCAAAATGCTGAGTGGTTCAATAATCAATGGAATCTTTCTTCCTTCCTTCCATTTTTATTTTCCAGCAAGGATTACATCATCTCTGGCAGAATCCATAAGTACACCATCATTTTCCTTTTGCTTCATATCTTGCATTGAAGCTCATTGTGCAGTGGTCATTTCAACAGCATATTGAGTAAAAGTTTACAACTCTAAGCTATTTATTGTGAAACTGGTACTATATGTAATCTCTATTGTCTGCTTTTAAAAATATTGATGTCTCTCTATCCATTTATCTATCCATCCCTTCATCCATCAATCTATCATTTCTCCATTAATCCATCCACTCAGCACCTACCATAGGCTAGGCATTTTTCATGGACCTAATTATTTAAAATTCTTGACAATGATCACAACACAGTCCTTATTTTAAAGTGTCCACATTCTAGAGGGTAACTAGACTTATCAATTACAAGTAGTGAGTACAAAGCATCTGGAGGCCTCAGGAACATTCCAAAGAGGTGGCAATATTTGCACAAGACATTGAAGGCAGAATAGAGTTTGCTAGGCTAAAAAGCAGAGGAGCTGGGGCAGAAGGCAAATTTCTGTGGCAAGAATACCATACATAAAGACAGAAACATGTCAGATACCTCTACGCATCCCAGGAAGCTCGGTGTGTCAGAGGGTTCTGGGGCCAGGTGAGAGTCATTGTCCCATGTCCCATGTGGGGCTGAAAACCACTGGTCTCGGCCAAGTTTTATTTATTTCTCCTGTTGATATTGAAAATCTAGGAATTCCTGGATGCATATGGGAACTGGCTGCTTGGTGGGGACCCTCCCCCTGGGAAGATCCACACAGCCTTTGAGAGGCACCTGGGTGCATGGCCTAGAATTCAAGAGCCCTGATTCATGGCCAGGACAGAGCCTATGGGGTCCCCCTCTTGTCCTGTGGAGACCTGAGCTGGTGGCTACCTGGCCCTGCAACCCCAGCCTGGCACATGAGGGGGGGGGAGCATTATTTTTAGAAGGTGAGGCTGGTTTCAGGTTTGCCACCAAGTGAAGTGAACACCGGGAATTCTCAAGGAAGGGCCCTTTATGTATGACTGCTCAATTATTTTTTTCTCTGCTTTATTTCACTGATATAAAACTTGACAAGTTTTCGTTTTCATTTCTCTTCCTGCAAATTCATGGCTAAGGATAAAATTCAATAGGTGCCATTTCCAAACTCATCCCTCTAGAATTCCAAGGCGTTTGGAGCACTTCCCCTCCCCCTGTTATAGGACTATCAGGGTTTTCTCATCTGGAAAAGAGTGACGAACAGAAGATTTTGTTTTCTTTTAAAGGAATGTTTAGTGCAAGGACAATCCAGAAGTGTTTCCGCTCTCTCCTTCCCCTGTTGCTATTCTGGGAATGCAACACAATCCGTCTGTAAAATTGCACATAGATTCCAGCTGCAGACCACGCCGCTGTGGTTTGTTAACGCTGTTTTGCTTTGTTTTTGTTTTGCTGGGTTTTTTTTTTAAACTGGAGATTTGCTCATGACAGCTTTCACCCTTGCTCCCCATGTCTCAGCATATATATGGCTATGTCTAGGGAATATAATGTGCACTTCGGGTCAGTTCATTATGTAATTATTAGCCAGCCAATTCAAGGACAATGTTTAGGTCTACTAAACAAGCATTCGAGATCACTTCTAAACCTAATATGAACAGCTCACTTATTAAAAGCTTAGCCTGTACAGTCACTAGGCTCAGGGCTTTCCACAGGCTGTTTCCATTTTTTCTCACTATAAGCTTGTGAAGCAGCTGCTGCTGTTGCCCTTTTTCCAGACAGGGAATTGATGCCCAGAGCCCAGAGCCCACAGCCAGGAGGCGGAAGTGAAGCCGGTGGCCTGGCTCCAGGCAGCCCCATGTTCTTCACCACGGCCCCGCCCTGCCCACTGCTCACTCTTGAGTGGCAGACAATGTCATAGCATGGGGAAATGGGACAACTGGTTTCAAGGCGGGGCCAGGACTAGGGTGAGGAGACTGAGGCACTTCCTGGAGGCATGTTTCTCCTCAAAGGTCAGTAATGCCGCCTTTGGTGGTCCGTAACTTCTTTTTTGCCTCATAGACTCTTTGAAAACTAAAGGCTAACTACAAACTCACCAAAAAGTGTATATTCACACCACATTTCCCAAGCAATGCCAAAGGGTTCTTGGACAACCTGAAAAATCAATGCTCAAGAGGTTTTAATTATGTCCCTGCAATGTTCTTTCTAGAAGAAATGAAATCTTTCTTACTTTGGGAATTTCTTTTTTCCCCTAAGGAGCAAAGCAAATAGCAAGCTAGACAAAAATGGAATAAAACAAAACAAACATGAGATAGAAAAATACCACAATTTGATAAAATCCCACTATTTTCCCCCAGAAAAGCACTGATTGACTAGTCAACAATCTTTCTCATACTCTCTTTTAGAAACCTTTAAGATCCTTTTAGCTAATGATACAGTAAATTTAAGCACCCATTAGAAAGGAAATATCATGTTCATTTTATAAAGGAGGAAGCTCAGAACCCCCCACCCAACTCTGTTTTCCTCCCTCTTCCTCTATTTTATAAATACAAGGTCATGTAGCAAGGTGCTGGCAGAGCCTTTGGGAGCCTCCAAGCTTCTTGACACTCTGGTTCAATTTTCTTCCGTGTTCCAATCCATAACAACTAGCCAACAAATAGATAACACATCTAACACTAACGAATAGATAAGACAAAAATTTGAAAACTGCTTTGTTTCCTGATCATATTGTACAGTTTAATTTTTGCCTCACTCCTGTCTCCCTATTCCGTATTCTCTACCCACTCATGCCAAAACAACTGAAAAAATAATAAACAAAGAGCCTCTCTCATTCCTATCCCTCTACTCTTAACTTCTACCAGAAGTGGGTTTTAGCTAACTCCCAACTCTATGCCGGGCTTATGTGGTCCATTTAGTCAATCCCTATGTACCCTTTGCTTAATTCCTACACATCCTTTGAGGTGTAGTTTAAATTCAGTCTCCTCCACAAAGCCATTTCTAACTCTTCTGGCCCACGTTCATTACTTCTTCTCTGAAGTTGAGCAGTAACTGCACTGCGCTCCCTAATTCTACATTTGCCTCATGTCCTCACCACCTCCACCTCCTAGATGCCACAGCATCCAGGATGAGTAATTAGAAAATTCCTGAACAACGCTCACTGGTTTAGAGGAACTCAGGGAAGGTGCCCAGGACGTACATGACTCAGATAGTAAGGCCATTCTTACATGGAAACATTTTTAATGTGAATTGCTGTGTTCCATATTGCTATTCATACAAAAGCTTCCTAACATATTCTCTCCCTGTCTTTAACCAATCTATAACATAAATTATACCACCTTAGTGGAACCCTTCCAAAGATTCAGGGCTTAAAAGAACCAACCACCTACTCCCTTATGGAGACATTCATTACTCTATGAACATAGGTCAATTTTCCCTCATACCTCATCAGTACTTTCCCACTTTGTAGCCTTTACTCCAATCCAAGATGGCTGCGTGGGTTACTTGCTTTCCTGTAACCATTTCACAGAAGCAATGCTCTCCTCATATTTCCCCTGGTACTTTAATTTTGGGTTCCCAATCCTTCATTTTGATTCAAGGTTTAGGTCAAGACTCTCTAGAAACCCTTGTAGTCTCTCATTTCCTTGTACAACTTTGCTGTTATCAGGATATTTTCATATTCTTTATAGCAATTAGCCTCCCCAACCATTCTGCAGTACCAGTTGAAGAACTGGTATTCCCAAAGTTCAGATAAGGAAACTCAGATTTAGGAAGGTTAATAGATTTCTCCAAGAACACATGGATAGTGAGTTATAAAGCTACCAGTGCTCTCAACTAGGAGTGATTTTGCCTTGGTCCCAGCCCCCACAGGATACTTAGCAGTGTCTAGAGGCACTTTTAGTTGCTGTAACTCGGGTGGGGGTGGGGAGGGGCTGCTACTGGCACCAAGTGAGTAGAGGCCAGGTATGCTGTTAAGCATCCCACAATACACAGGGCAGCTCCCAGTACAAAGAATTACCTAGTCCCAAAGTCAGTCATATGGAGGCTGGGTAACCCTGACGTAAAACGTGAACTAGACTAGTAGGTCTTTTTTACCCCCTATTCTATATTTTTGTTCTTAGTAAGTTAGATTGGTTTGGGTCTGAGGCACAGCTGGGGCTTTACTAGCCACGGGGCTGACCCGACCACTATCCAACATTACAACTTCATGGGACTTAAAAAAAGGAGCCCCTTCCTAAAGATATTTCACTGCCTTCTGCTGGGATATTGTTCCGATAACTCTGCATATATACAGTGACTATGAGGTACATGGCACCTCCCCCAGAGTTGTGAAATGCACAAATGCACAACCATAAGTGGATACTCCCTGTGGGACGCTGGAAAAGTGACTTAACCCTTCTAGCCCTCAGTTTCCACCTCTGCAACATAGGGGCAATTGTATCTCTCTGTGTAATGGAGGATTAACCAGAATATATACAGCCCCTACCACATAGCGGGGACATGGTAGGAGATACAAAAATGGTAGCTAGTATTTCAGCATGCTAAGTTTCCTTTGTGCCTATCCAAAATATGTCCTTATCTTTGGCATAGGCAATGGAGTCTTGTTCAGCATTTGGACTGAAAGAGTGTGTCTGAAAATGATTCCAAAAAAGCAAGACTGAGTTCAATTGGACTTTCTGCTTTCCTCAATGATTTCTTAATCACCTAAGACCCGATTTTCTGCCTCTCACATAGTACTTAAGAAATGTCAGAGAAGCAATTGACATACCTAGGAACACAGACGGGGCTCTGCCTTTACCCCATGATTACACAGATGATTCTACACATTCTGTTATATCTATAGTTGATAAAGAATGACACCCAGATGGGTGTAAATTACAAGAATTATAGTGTGTCCATCAAAGAGCTGTGTCTGCTGAAATAAGCTGTTGGTGCCATATTATGCAACCTGAAGCCAGCAGAGGTTTCACTAATTATAACTATCACAGAGATAAGTGGCTAACCCAGGAAACTTACATTCTCATACCGATAGGGAGGATGAGGATAAGAAATACAGAATTGACTTTGTGGATTAAAGTGAAAAATTATATATGACCATGATTTTTGGGAAAGAAGTTTGGCAAACACAGAATTGAATCTACAATACAGCTGAGTTCTGCTTAACAAGGATCTTTTTTAAAGTTTCTGTGGTTAAGTTTGGAATGCCTTTGGCCCCCTTCTTGTTGATTTATAATGCATGTAAGCATATTAAAGGGCCTGAGATCTCCTGGGGAATCCAAGGTCAAGGAGAAGTATGAGTTCATGGTATCAAACAGGGAAGCAGGTCTCTTGGTAAGGTGAAGATTAAATAGGTTGCTTGCTAAAAGGTCATCTAAAATCGAGGCTAGCATTTCCTTCATCCAAGGGTGAAACCTACAATCACCTTGAAGTGCATGAGTGTGACCAAAGTGAACCGGAGCCTAAGGGCCTGAGTGGGGACCAGGTCCAACAAGAACATCCCAAAAGGGTCCATGGAAATTCAGTAGTTGGCATCATGTGGCATCGAGATGCATGGCAACGGTCAGCAGATCAGACCTTCTAGTTCTCTCTATACCTGGCTTGGAAGCGGGACTGACCTTTCATTGCATTAAGCCAGTCCATATTTCGGGGGTGGGGGTTGGGTTAAGGAGAGAAAGGACCTCTCAAAAGGAAGATACTAGAGACTTCAAGCTATAGGGCAGATGGGAGCTCCAGGAAAAAACTGGAAGAATAAAGAGGTGACATCACATCCGGGCTCCAAGTTAAAGAGGAAGAGCAAATTAATGACAAGGACAGCGATCTCCCCCCATTTCCATGACTCCATTTCTTCACGACTGCAAGCACCTCTGTAGCTCACTGTTCGTCTTCTTCACACAAATGGAAATTCGAGGTCCTGGGGTAAAGCATCCTTGTAGGAAATGACAGACTCCTTGAGAAGCATCTTTGACACCTAGGAGGTTAGTGGCCTGTGGGCTCTTAGGAACGGTTCATCCAGAGAAAACCTTGCATTAGTTCTTCCCACATAGACAGACCAGTTGGGAAAGGGGGTGTCATTTCCTCCAGGCGAGGTGTTTAACCAAATTGATGGCTCGCCCTTTTCAAATAGGGAAAAGGAAGAGTCACCGCGTCTACAGCAGCAGAGGGGTGCATACCTCTTGCCCGTCTTTGCTGACGTTGTCATTGGCGTGCCTGGCCACAATGGACAGGAACTGGAGGAGGCGATGGAGCGTGTCACAGTTGCAGGGAGGTAGAAGGTAGATGAGAAGCTGCAAGGTGCCCAGCTGTTCCTCTGGCTGCAACACTAAGCAAGGCAAAAAGAGGTGCTCTGAGTAAGCAAAAGGTAGGGGGGCTCACCCCATTCAGGCTCAGAGAAGAGGCCCTCTCTCAACAGTCTTCAGAAACGGATTATCAAGGCAAGTGACATTTTATTCCTTCATCCACTCTCCCATTGATTGAGCAATTTGGCAGCAAGGTTCTATGAAAGGTATAAAGAGTAGGCCTGGCGAAATGTTACATCTAGAGTAAGCACTCTAATCCAGGTCAGAAAGGTAATTTAATTTCCCTTAGTTTCTCCTCCCTCCATTTCCTGGTATTACGCATCATTTACTTTATGGATTGCAGTTCTTCTTTTTTGGTAAATATTCACAAACATGACTGAGAATTGGTGAACATTTTACAATGTGAGTTCTTTTAAAAGAGATTTGAGGCCCCTTTCTGTTGAGCAATACAAAGGGATTTTTGTTGGCAATAATGCAACAAAGCACATCCGCCATGTCTTCTCTCTGTTTTGTGATCCTACTGGAATTATATCATCGGAGGAAAAAATACATGGAGGCCAACACAGCTCTGGCCTTGTCCTCCTCCTTTTCCCCTCCACGGCCCTGAAGCAGCCTCAATGGCCATTCTGGTCCTGGGCTATGCCATCCTGCTTCCCTGGAATGTCGCCTGCTCCCCTTTTCTCACTCTGGGCTCCTGTGGTTCCCTCCTCCCTTGCACCATAAATGAAAGCTCATTTTTAGGCACAGACTCAATGTGAACTCTTGCCGTTACTTGAAAGCATCAATATATAGCACTTTCTACTGTCCTAGAGTCATCTGAAAGCATCCCAAGTTCTTCTTGGCTACTTCCATTTGTTCTATTGCAACTTTCTTCTTGCTAATTCTCCCCAGGGTAAATCTCAGAAAATTCCCCAAATAGCCCACTCATTAGAGACCAATAAATAAGGACCCAAAATGTTCTCGGGAAACCCATGTACAAGGTTTTGATGAATGAGCTGGACTTCTGGTAATTCAGGGACACATTCCTGCTAATGGCTGTATTACGCACAGAGAGTATTGATGAAAGCTGTGTACAGCTCCCTGGTGAGAAGGGGGTCCGGCATATCCCTCAGGAACTCCTTCAACAAGGCAGCCACATCATGAACGCTGTGCTCTTCCTCCAGAGAGACATCAACACCACGGTCAAATTCCTCGCGTAACTGGAAAAATAATGGTTCAAGTGGCAATCTCATAACACCATACCTCTACGTTCAGTGCCCAGCCAAAAAAGTGCTGTGACTTGCACCCTCTGGTATTACGTTTACGCAGACCCAAAGAGGAGAAGCACGCAACATGTCACCTTGATCTGCAGAGTCTATGCCACCCAGCCATGAATATAGATATATTTTCAATGCATTATTAACTAAAAGTATCTGTGGATTTACTGTTAATGAGGCAAGCAGAAGGGTTCATTGACGACACCCAGAAGGTTGGAAGGAAGAGCTAAGGCGTTGGGTCAACTATAAATGTGGGAAGAAGGAATTAATCTATTATACAGCAGTTTTTGCATGTTCGCAATCCTACCATGTTGGAATGTTGACATCCTAGAGAAATACTCAACAAGAAGGCAAAGAGATATTTCTACAAACAATGAAATTAAAAGCCCTGATGAGCCATTTGTGACTAAGGCTTGAAAGATGACAATAACTAAATAAGAGCTGCTTTAGACTTGTCAGAGTAGCCATATTAACAATTCCCAGAAGGATTTCCTGCCTCAAATCATTATATTAGGTTTATTAGCATTTATAGCAGCAGGAAAACACAATAGCAAGAAGGGAGTCATAATTCTGCCACCCTACTTTTATCACTGACAACTCAACTTCTCCTATGCATTGTTTTGTGCTGCCGAAATAATTATGGGAGTTCATGAATCTACTCGACGCAGTAAACTTACGTAAGTGTTCACGTGTTCAATCATTCATCACCCATTCATTCAGCAAAGATGTGCTGCAAACTTCCTGTGTACCAGGCCCTCAAAGCATGGTGACAAATAAAGAGGCCAAGTCCTTCCCCTCCTCCAGCTCTCAAGCTGATAGTGACACAGGTCACAAGCTGGTACTCCCACATATGATTAATTAACTCTTAATACTGTGTCAATTGTTATAAAGAAAAAGTGTCGGGTGCTGAGAAGGGACAGAACAAGACAACATAGTGAGGTACAGCATATTTCATACCTGAAATCTAAGTCTAAATAAGCACTAAGTACATTTTTATCAGATGATATCCATGCAAAGGGTTTCCTTTGCTGGATCCAGATATAACTGGGAAGTCATTTCTGACAGTCACCACCTCTCCATCTGACGAGAATGCCCCTTACTGTCTTAAATTGCCTGTTGATTTCTGGCAATTCCCCATTAGTGGGCATCAGGCAGCCAGAAGGAAGACTTCCAACTGGTGCCACTCCTACTTGTGAACATTCAAACACACCACATTTCTTTTCTGAGCACACACACATGCAGAAAGAATGGACTGTGCAAACAGCTTGGTCTAAATTGCATGATCTTGAACTTAGCACTGGCTAAATTGTGTGATCTTGAGTTCAGTTTCTTAATCTCTCTAATCCTCAAAAGAAGTCGTTGAAAGGCATTACTTTTACAGCTGGTGGGTGAGTTTAATGAGATGATGTTTGTGAAAATATTCTCCAATTCCACACAGGTGAGAGGCTTAAGAAATGTCACCATGAGATCTTCCTTTCCACAAGTCCTGTTGTGAAATGTTAAATGGAGTTCAATAGTCTCTCGTGTGACTATTAAAAATAAAAACCAGCCAACAAACCAAACAGAAAGCATGTTTTCTTTTGAAAGCTCCTCTTATCTTGACAAAAAAGATAAATGAAGAGGCATTTATTTCAGTTAGTTTCAGTATTATGAGCAAATGTCATTTGTTCACCTTCCTCCAACTAAAAACTATTTTGATTTGGCTTCATTTTTGAGTTCCTTATTTCTTTCTGCAGGAACCAACAAAGGGAAAATAACATTTTCATTTTTTCTTAGCCAACACATGAATTCTTTTCTCAAAAGATTATTTGCTTTTGTGAAGCCATCATGAACACAGATACCTGCCTGATCATAGGAACCTACTCCTGTAGCTCTAATATCAAACTTCTGTTGCGAGAATCTTGTGCAGTGCTGAAGGAAACCAAGGGTACAGTCCCTATATGAAAAATAATTGGGAATCGATGATCCCATGGAAACTTCATAAGAGTTATTTATTTTTGAGAGTGTGAAGCTATAAACATAGCATCTTATACGAAGAGAATATTAATGGCATTTTTCGTATTGCATTTTAGTAAAAATGGGTGCTATACAACTGTTTTCTATTTCTTATCAATTACTGATTAGGTACTCTCCAAATTTCCTGCTTTTGAAGTTTCAATAAAATATTTATAAATATATACTTATAAATTTTGGTTGGCTGTACATGCCATGGACACATCTCTGGATGTTTTGCTTTTAAGTGTTTGACCATTACTCGATCACAACCTTTCTGAGCATCTGACTTGTTGCCTTTTACCTCTTGGGACTCAATTATACTATAACTGGTGGGAGGGTACAGACAAGCTACTTAGAAATGAATTTGCATAAGCTTGAACTTGGCATAAGGTCATTCCATTAAAAGTCAAGTGAAATGGACAATACAATCTTCACTTTTCACTTACTTGTCTCACCCTCTTTTTTGAGCTTCCAACTCGGAATATCCCCACTGTCTGGAGACCTGCAAATAAGCAAACAAAATCAACAGTCCTGTCTGATGGCTTGAAACTCGGCAGGAAATGAAAATAGAAGTAGAACAGGAGGTCAGCACTGGGTTACAACACACAGAGCAATCGTAACTTGACTGTGTGCACAAATGCTTATTTACCTTGCTCTCTTCTCCAGGAACCTACAAGTCATGCTATGGCAGCAGTAGCATTTGATGGTGAACATTTCTGATGAAAATGTTTCCATGTGATATGTATTTCCACACCTCCATGTGAAAAAAAAATGCACCAATTTCTCTCATTATTCAGGATAATTACTTAAACATGAATTTTATATGGATTTTTAGCTCTATCAATTTTTAAAATAGATATTTCTGGTTTTTGTGATCATAATTAAAACATGTATTTATTAAAGAAAATCTAAAAAATGCAGAAAAATGTGAAAAATGATATATGTTGAAAAATATCTTATGCAGAAATAATCACTCTTAATATCTTGGTTTATTTTTATCTAGCCTCCTCTCTCTCTCTCTCTCTCTCTCTCTCTCTCTCTCTATATATATATATATATATATATATATATATATATATTTCACTCAATAATATGCCACAAGGATTTTTATGCCAGTAAAAATTCCTTGGAAATGTCATTTAAAATAAATGCAAAATACCCTATTGTATGAATGTGGCACAAGTCACTTCATATTCCCCTGTGCATGGCATATAGGTCCCCCCAACACACACACACTTGTTTTGCTTTATAAATGACCCTATTATGAACAACTCTATACATAGGTCTTAGTTCACATTTCTGATTTTCTTAGGATCATGTCCTAAAAGTGGGATTATGGGGTCAATGCATAAAAAAATTATCTGGCCCAAAATGTCAGTAGCACCGAGGTTGAGTGACCCTGCTCTAAAAAATTAGGTCTCTTAAAGCAAACAAATGTCATCACTCTCCCACATTAGAAATTTCAATTTGTTCCTTAACATCATTACATTTCCAGTCAGCATTCACAGAAGTTCAGAAACTGGGAGTGGTCGATCTGCCTTTTAGTCTCTGAATGGATATGTCCCCTCAGAATTGGTTTGATGAAGAAACAGCATTGGTGGCCCACTGTAGATTTCCCCACCGGCTGGATTTGGACACCCCGTGGGGACATTTTATGTTCCTCTCTCCTCATTATTTCCTCTGAAGAGATAGTTAGAGCCAGAGTTTTCTCGGGTTCAGGTTTGGTTGACTGGAGCACTTTCCAAGAGGTATTGGGTACTTCGGGGGCACAGAATGATGGAGTGGCGCTTCTTTACCCATGCAAGCCATTAATTATGGCCACTGATGCTCGTCGACTACATTGGTTCTTTCATTGGTGGCTTGTTTCCTCTTCAGGGGTGATAATCTGTTAGGAGGGTGAAGCCAGGTTGGAGCTGCCAGTGGCCATTCTGCAGCCACATGAAGAGAGCTGTCTGAGAGTAAAGCAAGCAGACTCACGCACGCACGGCATCACTGGAGTCCTGGACCCAGCTGTACCTGAAGCTAGATATAATACTCAGACTTCCCGTATGTAAATACGATTTGGGGAAGGGTGCTTTGCTTAACCTAGTTTTATCTGGGTTCCTCTCGCTTGCCACTGGAAAAGTTCTGACTAATACAATATATTATTAATTTGGAAAAAATTTTAATCTTTATAACATTATTTCTTTCCATCCAGATACAAAGGAAACATCTTAATTTGCTTACATCGTGTTTTATATCTCTTGGTAGATCTTTGCAGTCTTCATCATACAAGTTTCTTACTTCTTATTACAGATATTCTGGACGTATTATATTTTTATATTAATATGAATGATTTTCTTGTTATAGAACATAACTGGTTATTGCTCTTAGATAGGAAATGGGTATCTTTTTGCATATTTACTTGATGGTTTGCCACACTATGTATTTTAAGACTCTTTTAGTTGGTTTTCCAGGATTTTTTAGTTAGAAAAGATAACATCTATAAAAACCCCATTTATCACTTCTATGTCTTAAAAGTGGCGTCCTGAATATCCAGGGTAATTTGAGACAATCACGGCGAGAGGCTACTTATCTTGGTGCTTGGCTCTTGAGTGGGATTTTGCCTTGTATCTATGTTCAAAAGACTTCTGCGTCCTCCTTGCTGCTGCTATCAATGCATCTGCCTCATAACTGAGTCCAAATCCCAGACTAATTTATCACTTGTACTTATCTGGGAGCTTGAAAACAAGATAATCGAGCTATTACAATCAAATCCAGAATTCTATTTCTTCATCTGCAAAATGAACATAATAAGGATCTACCTCAAAAGTTATACAATGACTCAATTAATTCATGATGATAAAATACTCAGAATTATGTCTGGCATCGACGATTATATAAGGAGAAATAGGCCCTCAGTGAACTGAATGAGTCTTCCTTGTGCAAAACAGAACATTTTAATGTAAGAGAAGGTCTGAGCAATTTTAATTTGGGCCACATTTATTTTCTTATCTTTCGATGGTTTCCCAGTAGTTGACATTTCTACATCAGTGAGACATCACATAAGAGCAGTTTTTCCACAGGTGGGACTCTTCATTGTGCTGAATTCCTCCAGGCTTGTTCTGAAATGCCCATTTCTAAGAGGTTACTTCCTCAATTACAGTACTTTTCCACTCAGGAAAAATGACAGTGATTTTAAAAAATGACTAGTGATCGACTACTATAATTCTTATATGTCTCAAATTATTATAATTTATTTTAAGTTTTAAAATTTACTTTTATTGGTTTGCTTGTTTTTAGGTAGAGCGGATGGCAGCCTTCAGCCAGCCTTACAGTGATTTTCCTCTAAGAGAAGATACAGTCCAGTTTGACTTAAGACAGTCACTGATAAAAACAGGTGTACATAAAAAAAAAAGGCATAGATCTGGCAAAGAAACGTGACCTTTCTGTGTCCTGTCCCAGAAATGGACGTGATCACCTTTCTCTCCTTTTCATCAGAAACTGAAATGAAAACTAGAGCCAGAGCGCCTGAATCTCAGGCTTAGGGAATTCAAGTAATGAGGGCAGGCATAATAAGCGGGGGCCCCACCCTAAAATCAGCCTACATCTCAGAATTATAACAGAATTTGACTCTTATTGACTCATATATTGCCTGGGGTTTTTTGTTTGTTTGTTTGAAATGTGTGCTCCTGGGAAATTGAGGATATTAAGGAATTTTGACCTAATAGCGTAGAAAGCATTTGGGTGAAATCTAAGCGGGGACGGGTAATGTACACAAATATAGGTGGAGTCTAGATAACTGTCCAACACCAATTTTGGAGAGAATGAAAAGATCTTTCATAAATATTTGTAAGGCTAACACGAATCAAATTCTTTGCTACTCATTTCAAAAACTGGCAAATAAAGTCTTATGAAAGAATTGTTTTTTGAAGTTTGCTCTTTATTCATTGGTTTAAAGTGACCAAAAGATTATATCTGTTTGATTTTGAACATGTTTCTTATTTTTCTGGAGCCATTTGGTCTAAACACCAGAAAAACCCAGAACAGAATCGGGGCCTTGAAAGGTCACCCGGGTTACCTTCTTTCCTTTAAGCCCTAAACTGCATTTTAACAATTCCAAAAAAAAGAAAGTGAACTGCCCAGTTTTCTTTTCATTTCTTTTCCTCAAATTACATTGTTAGTATATAGGAATGCAATGGACTTTTGTACATTGATTTTGTAGTTGGCGACTTTACTGTATTCGTTTATTGTTTCGCATAGCTTTTTGGTGGAGTCTTTAGGGTTCTCTATATAAAGAACCATGTCATCTGCAAAATGTGACACTTCAACTTTCTCATTCCCAATTTGGATGCCTTTTATTTCTTTCTCTTACCTGATTGCTCTGGCCAGGACTTCCAATACTCTGTTGAATAACAGTAAGCTTAAAGCACATGCTATTTTACAAATTATAACTTATTTTCAAAAAGAAAATAAAAAGGCATACCAAATTTTGTTTCACAAAAGCAGTTACTGAACCTGGCACTGGAGTTTTGCATGACTGGAATAGGGTTTTCTTGTTTAGAATTCTTTAAAATGCTTACAGTTCACTCTTTATATACTTTATAGGGAAGAAATATAATTATAAAATATGTGTCTCTTTTTCTACCTCATAGTGAAATTGAGGCTGAATTTACATATTCACAGTACTGAACTCTTTAGTTGCTCAGCTATCTTTAAAAACAACTCCGTTCAAACAATATTTATTGAACATATGCATTGTGTTAATCATGATACTAATTGCTGAGAAATCAAAATAACTAAGACCTTTTCCTTGACCTCCAGTTTACCTTCCAAGGAGAAGAGACAGATAGATAAACACATACACACATGTGCACATACATATATTAAAATTTTGTATAAACCAATAAAATTTCAATACATATTAATTTTATTAATTCATCTATATTTTATCAAGTGAGTTCCATATACAATGAGTTAATGGAGAGATTTAGATAACTCCTTAATAATTTTTAATGAAGTCTCATTTTCATTAGAAAGAAATAAATGAGAATGTTACCAATTGTTATGTTTTGTCTACATAATGGCCTCAGATTTTCTTTGTTTTTTATTTCTTTTTTCTTATTACAATGAGCATACTATTTTTATAGCAAGGAAGCAATTAAGAAACTTTTCTTATGTCCACAAATTGCACACTAACATTATATAGCAAACAAATTTACATTATGGAAATGGCAGTTTGATGAACCAAGTCTAAATTTCAGTAACATTTTAAAAGAAATGTACAATATTTTGAAGTCGCCATATTAACTGGAACTGAGTTTTGAAAGGGTGATCTGAAGAAATTTTAAGTGGACATCCTTCCACAAAACTGCAAATAGTCAAAAACTTGTCAAAACTGTGTATTTTCATTTCACTTAAAGAACGGTTTTCAAAACTTTTTTTTTAAGTAGCTGGACTCTTATTTTTTAAAGGAAGCTTTATGAGTAATTTCAATGTATGAAAAAGACAAAAGTGGCTCTGCTCTGTTTGAAGGGGGCCCTGGGGACAGACTCAGTTCAACTGATCTTGTCATCCCCTAAATTGCTTGGCCTCCAGGGTCACTTCTGAGGACTCTTGGGGTCCGGGCAGTCTGAATGCCATCGAGTAGATCTCCCCCTCCCTACCCCCAATCTTGGTTAGCCCAGTAATCTCTTAAGCAAGCACTCAACTATCTTCACAAAGGAAACTTCGGCCCAGAGTTTGAGCAAATGAACACAGAATGAAAATGGGTGCTTAAATGAATGCTGCTTGAATCAATGAAAGCCTTTAGCACTTGCTCGCTGACAGAGGAGTCTGCTTACCATGTTTTTCTAGATGTTGACAGCAGCTGTCCACCAGCCTGGGGACCTGTCTGTAAATAGGATTCAGACTGAGTTTCTTATCTCTGGCTTTTTCTTTTTTATTTTGAGCCTCGGCAGGCAAGGAGAGTTGTAAAGCTTCGAGCAGTCGAGACTGATTATCATCAAGATCTGTGATAGAATCCACTGACATTGCACCCTGCAAATTACACACAGACATGAACAAAGAGTTCAGACAGAAAAATAAAAACAGCTTCCCCCAGATGCCACCCAGTAAATACTTTTGCCTAGGATTATTTATCACAATTGAAATAATACTGTTTGATTTAATTGTGCTGTTTGTATATTAAAAAGGAAAAAAAATCACCTTTTGAAAAAGTTAGAAAACCTCCATGACCTGGGATAAGGTAATGGCGGTTACAATTTCAACAACAGACAACATTTTCCAAATGAAAGGCAAGAGATGGCAAACGTATATTTAAAATATTTCGACCCAACCACTTTGTTCCTTGAAACAATCACATACTCAACAAATGAGGTCAAGTCAGAGAAGGCTTGTGAATAAAAAACTCAAGCATGACTCTAGGAAGAAGATTTTTTAAACAGGAGGAATCCATCAAACTGTTGGAGTTTGGTTTCCACCAGAAGCAGCACAGAGCACTTTATTAGAGAAGGGGCCCCAGGAGACACCTGCAGAGGGAAAACAGCCACCAAGGCAGCTAGAGTCCAACTGCAAGGGGGCTTCTGGGGGGCAGTGTAGATCAAACACCCCAGAGCTATCCGTATTGAGGGGTGAGGGAGCTGGGATACTTAGACCCCAAGTCTCAAGAGGCATTGATTACGGGCAGCTTCTGGTGGGGGTGAGAGGTGAACTCTATGCCTCAGGACTTGCAGCCTATCATCTGCATGGGTGGGCTCTTCTGGTCATGAGAAAAAGCCCTCAGCAAAGAGATGAGGTGCTGGCAGCTGGAAGGAGGGTGGGCATGCTGGGAATGGGGAAGGCTGAGGGCACGGGGATAGGCACCAACCATGTCTACATAGCCACCCATCGTTTGATGAAGCCCAGAGGAAGCAGTTGGCTCCTGGTATCCTAGCAGGGCCTGGGCAGAGGAGACAGAGGGCATTTGGGAGGCCCACTGCCTGACCCCAGATTCCCAGAAAGGTCTAACGTGGAGTTTTGGTGTTATTGCCATATATGGGTTTGCACAGTCCGAGAGAATGAAAGGATTGGAAGAACAATTCCATCACGCAAATTCAAATATTCCACAATGTTGTCATTTCTTCATTTTTAAACATAGCCAAAGCCTTGAAAAATAGCAGTGGCTTAAGTGCCCCTTTATCGTGGAAAGGTCCTGAATGTTGGGGACTGATTGAGAAATCAAGATTTTAAGTGAGAACTGCCTGGGGTTTTAACTAGTAGTCAGTGGCTGGAGGTAAGAAAGAGTCAGGGCCTCCAGGTGAGAGGAAGGGGAGAGAAGGTTTCTCAGTGACCCAGGAAGTTGTAGAGATTCATCAACTGACTCAGCCAATCACCAACCATTTTGCCTGAAAACTCAGTTTTCCTGGCTTCAAGTGTGAAATGGGAAGCCAAGGACATAGTGCTCAGTTAAGCAATGGTCCCATATTGTCACAGTATTGATTTGAAAGAAACATTATGGTTGAGAAAAAGAAAGTTCCATTGGTAAGGGAAAAATCTCATTGTTTATGAAGACCGGCAGTAAACTCACTGGGTCAGGAATATGGTTCTAAGCTGTAGACGAAGAGATTAACAAAAAGCTCTGGCCCTTCCCTGAAGCCTCACACTCTTGTGGGAAAGTCTGATAATACAACAGAAGATTGCAATCGGCCGGGAGCGATGGTGATGTTGTAGAATGTTCAGGAGATGGCGGGGCATGCGGATAACCAAGGAGGATAACCCAGGAGGGGCTTTGAGAGGATCAGGGAAAGTCTTTGAGGGTGTGCCAGGGGCCATATGGCCAGTGCGAATTCGCCCTGAATGGAGTTGTTGACAGATACTTGGACGCAAACGACATTTCCAGTTTTCACATGAGCACATACTCAAAAAATAACCTTATACATCTTCAGTTTTCCCAGCATTGACGACAGAGAAAACATTGGCCGACTCACCCTCCTCCTGACCCGAGGAGCCGGCTCTGGTGTGTTTGGGGATGTGGACTCGTTTGGTGTTTCTGAGGTGGAGCTGAGAGATGAGTTACTGCTTGACAGTTCTTTGTTTTGTCTTTTATTTCCAAATGGGAGGAGGGAAGCCACAAAATCCGATGCGTCCTTCTGCTCATCCCTCTGCGAGTCTTGCTTGAGTTTATAGGCCCGGTCATTCGCGATGACCTGGGACAAGGGCATTCCAAATGCCTGTGGGATGAATTCTGGAATCAAAGAACAAACGTGCATTTTCAGAGAAAGACTGGACCTGTGAAGACTCTCACTCCTGTTTCAGACCTCATAGCAGACATACAAATGCCTGTGTTTAAACGGATTGACGGATCAGTCAAAATACAAAGGTGACTTCTGCATTTATCAGAGTGGCCAAAGATTCTATATCAATAAAGAAAGCTAGTACATATCAAGGATACAGGTTTTAGAAATCCAAGCCTCTCGTTTTTCTCCACATATCTCAAGTATGTTTTAAAGGGAATAGCTTTATAGAGAAATGTGACGCTTTTGATAGAATGTATGGAATCTTTCATCATCCCAAGCACACAGTTTTACAAACTGTTAGTCTTCAATTTACATGTCTCAAGAGCCCCCAAAGCTTACAAGGCATGGGCCAAAGACTCTGCACTTCTCCTTTCACTCAACAGGCACTTATCGAGCACCTTCTATGTACCATGTCAAATTACACAATGGGGAGTAAAGGCTTATAAAAGGTAGGTCCAGCCTTTGCTCTTGAAAGCTTCCGAGAGTGGGGTGGGGTGGCAGAGAATGGAGTCATATATGTAAGTAAGTGTAATAATGTCTATCATGTACCAGAAGGGAGAGATGCATGAAGTAAAGACTGAAATTTGGCTAAGTGGACACACTTTGAGGTTCCTAGGAAAAGAGCCCGTGCATGAAATGATAACCTGGGAGACAGAGGGGCAGCTTGGGAAGAAGCTTGCTCTCTCCCTCTGTGCTCCTTACCCCAACACGTTGTCTCCAGTCAGCCAGGCTGGGCTGTCGCTCGTGCGATCTGTACTTGAGCCATTCTGTTGGCCACATGCGGAAGGGGACTCTCACCACTAAATAGCCGGTGAAGGGCGCAGATACGATTTGCTAAAATCCTCTAGCAAGGACAATTTGGGGGAAGGAGCATGATGTGGAAATCTACGGCTTTATTTGGAGCTGGACACCCAGGTGCTTTCTGGGTCTCTGTAGTAATCTATATACACATACATTGTAAATACGCTGATCCTTAGGGTCAGGCGTTTTATTGGCAATATTTTAGATTTGTGCTGAAAGCACTAATAATTAAATTAAATGAATTCTTTTCTTTTGACCCAAAATTAGGTCTCCTAGAAGCAGCAGATTGGAATCTAGCCTCTCCTTTGTTTTTATAACCTGTACGAATATAACCAGAATGACCAAGGGAAAACAATTCTAAAGTTGTTTGTTCTTTGAAAGAAAAAGCTAACAGTAAATCAGGTGGAGAGAGGCCTTAAAATGTTTTCTTCTTTGATCCATGGCAACATTTTCAACAGTACTGAGCTAATGGCCAAGTCTACACTAAAAGCAGAAATGGCACTTGAAAAGTCGGTACCTCTGGCTCTATCAAAACATGCCATTCGTTTTGAAGTGGAAAATTAAAACTTCAACATTTCAGTTCAGCATTTTGGGATTTTCAGAGGGTACTTCCCCTTCTCCATCAACAAACTAGGTGGCATGTAATAATACAAACAATAATGGTAAGCATTTGCTTTGAGTGATCAATGCGGAGTGTAGCAAGATCCGATACTAGGGCCGGCTGAGTGGCTCAGTTGGTTAAGAGCTCGCTCAAGAGTTTGAGCTCTGAGCAACAGCGGTTCGAGTCCAGCCTGAGCTGAGCAGCCGCTGAGCTGCCAACAGGTAGCAGGATGGCTCAGCTTAAAAAAAAAAAAAAGATCCGATACTCACTACTGACAAAATTAGAGACCAAAGGGGACCAGGCCATCTGCTCTGCGCCTCAGGATTTACGATGCAAACAAGCACTGTCTTGTCTGTGGGAATAATCAAGTAGTCTTACTTTAAAAAGGCTGTGGAAAGTCTAGAAACATGTAGATGGCAAGGCTGACAGCTACATGGAATATACAAAAACTGTGAGGGGATAATAACAGCAAAAAGAACAAGTGACATGTGTCTACCCATGTAGGCATCCATGCAGCAGGATTTAATATGAGATGGGGACTATTGATTCCTCTCCTAGTCATGTTTTCTATGCAAGGAAAACCAACAAGACTCGTTTAGAGACTTCTAATATCCCTGGAAGAAAACACAAGAAAAATGGTTTCCTTTGGAATCTGTCATTTTTAATATCTGAAAGTCTGTCACTCTACTTATAAATTGGAATACTGAACACAAATTAAACAGGTGGAATACATGAAGTCATTTGCCCCCAATTTTTATTTCTCTTTTATTCTCAGTCAAGAGATATAGCCACCTATAATAGATGTTTTATTTCTCATAGGCTTTCTTTCCTGGCTGTTGATTCTTGCAGTGCTTGAGCTCTGATGTTGTCTCTCTCATTTCTTGTTGCTTTCTCCTGAGGGCTCTTACAAGCTTCAGAAAGGAGACCTCTCTATTGATCTAAACTTGTGTTGCAGTGTCTCATCTCTAAAACTCTAGGCAGGATGCCTTGAATATTATTGCTTCTCACAATTATGGCTATTGTGAAACTGGAGATTCATCACAAGTCTATTGAGCAAAGCCCTCCTTTCTGTGTAAATAGAGTGTTGGGGACACATGCTTATCTGTGGGTTCAAAGCTCTTCTGTTAGGGGGATAAAGGAACCTAGAGACTCTGTGATGATACTGGCTAATAAAGTTGATAATAGCTTTTGAAAACCATAAGGACATCATTACCGAAGACTCACTGTTCTGGGGCCAGCGACGATGTGTATCATGTTTTCATCTATGATGTGTTCACTATGGAGACTGCTTCGCCTGCCGTCCTCATTGGTAGTGACCATCTCCTCTCCCTCTCCATGAACTATGGGGTCAGGAGGTGGCGTGCCATCCTCTTTGCTCCCCACTGCAACTCACAGGTCGCCACTCTCACACTGTGTGGCAGAAACCTGCTACTGCAAGGTTCCCCTCTCCAGCTCCTTGCTATCTTCTGTTGTCACTGATTTTGACTCATGGAGGAATCCGCCCCCCCCATCTGCCATCATCCTGGGTGACTTCCATGTCTCTTTAAGTGGCCCATCTGATTCTCTGTCCTCACATCTCCTAGACCTTCTCCTCCCCTCTTACCTTTTCCTGCATGCCACCTTTTCCACCCACTCCCTCTGTCCTGTCCTGGACCAGAAGGGACTCCACCTCTGGAATCAGGCTTCCTCCTTCCACTCTCGTCTCACCCCACCCCAAGTTCACATTCTACACTGCAGTGTGGCAATGTGTTTAAACTTACCATTAAGCCGCCCTTCCTCACTACCCTTTGATCGTGTTTCAATGCTGTTAGCATGCACATCAAAAGTTATGCTGCGGCCCATGCTGTCCTGTGGGGGTAGCCCCTTTTTGCTCTTCCTGGGATCACACTCCCCTGATGCGCTAATTTCCAGCAACAACACTCAATGACAGAATTTAATACATTTTCTTTCAGAATTCCTACATAGTGATAATCGATACTTGACTTTTCTACTCCTATTCAATAGGATGCAAAATAAAGTTGTATCACCTCTTACTATGCAATGCTACTGCACAGCTCACGTAGAGTAACTGTCTTAGACACTCAGAAACAAGAAAACCTGGTATGACATGATCTCAGCATAAAGAAAGGTGCCAGACCTGAGCAATCCCCAGATTTTATGCCGATAAATACATGGCATAACCCAGAAACATCCAGACCCATTTCCCCGGTGTTCTGATTAAGGAAACACTTGAACTGGAACAAAGTAGCTATTTTTAAACCTTTCCCCCCAAAGTGATTTCTTCTTGACACAAAGCAAGAAATTTTCTGAAGTTCTAAAAGTTTAAAAAATACTCTTTGGTTGCCAAATCATTTAACTAAGACAAACAAAGGGCTTGGAACTATCCTGTATGAAAATGTGTTTTCTGAACCAGCAGCAATCTTGAATGAGTTTCCATATGGAAATCCAAAGTCATATGGGCACTGCTTATGTGTCACACAATCTGCTGTACATTATGTCAAGGCAATTAAATAAAATATAGGACATGAGTCATTCTGATTAAATCAATTAATATAGTGGCATATCAAACATTTAATGAATCATTCTTCATTGGAAAAGCAATTAGATTCTAATAAGCTGCTTATATTTATTTTTAGATGACTTAACCTACGAGGTCATTTAGAGTTTCCTGTTTTCCTTCTTTTACTCTTGGATTCAAATAATTATCATTTTTCACATGTGCAGCTGTTAGGAACCCAAATGCTAATATTCAAATGGAAGAAAATCTTGTGAACCGGTTACAACTGTGTGAGACCTGCATGCTGCCCCTCACATCCTGGTGCCCAGGACGTCCATGGAACGTCTGTGTTGACGTAGACAGGACTTTATGTTCAGAAAAGACGCCATGAAATTAAGCTTCACTTAAGCCTAGGACATCTTCTTTTTAAATATCATAGCTACTTTAAAGAAGAAACAGAAACCTCTTTTGCCATGAAAGCCTGATATTTCTCCCCTTGGTTGAATGGGCGTTGTGTATTTTCTTTGGAGCCATCAGGATCTGTCTTTTTTCCCCCAGCCAGCTCCCCATGCAGCCTTATAAAACACTGCCAAGTTTTCAGTGAACGTATATAATACTTAATATGATTTTGTCTGAAAAAACTACAATGGTCCAGTGCACATGGGCCGATTACTTCCACTGGTCCTTCCTTCCTGGCTCATTTGCATTTTTGTTTCCTACTCTTTTGTGATATAAGCAAGCACACATACATTTCCCTTTGTTGAGGGAACTCAAACATCTCCCACAAAAATGCTCATTCTCTGGGGTGGCCGGTTGGCTCAGGTGGTTAGAGCGCAGGCTCATAACACCAAGGTTGCCAGTTTGATTCCCACATTGGCCAAGGAGCCGTGCCCTCCACAACTAGATTGAAGACAACTACTTGACTTGGAGCTGATGGGTCCTGGAAAAACACACTGTTCCCCAATAAAGTTTCTTTTAAAAAAATGCTCATTCTGCTTAGTCTAGCCTGGATGGGCACTTCTTGAGAATCACCTAAATTCTACATTATGAGTATTCAAATCCCAGTACCAATATCATCATCCTAGAATATACTGACTTTAAAGATAACACATTACTAATAGCAGCCTGAATGATCCCTTTAATGTACCCCATAAACACCAAGAACTACCCTAATCTAGCGAGATAAAGGTGGTCTGTGGCAGGAAGAGAATGAGTAAAAACTCTAGTTTAAAAAAGCTCTCCTGGCTACTAATAGTCATGTAAAAATAAAGGCAAGAACATATGGGCCATTAAATAGAATACAATGTATCAGACAATGATAGGTAGCTGGACAAGAGTTAGCATCTTCTGTCTTCATTATTCCAGCAGCAGATTCTGCTGTAATAGGACACGCCATGGTAGGTTTTTCGGTGAATGTGGACCAGAGTGGTCATCCTAGAAGTTGTACATTAGTAATTTCTAAAATTACTCATGCCCAGTACCCCTACCAACCAATGGAATGAGACTTTCTGGGGTGGGGAATTGGACATTGAAATTATTTTACAATTATTCCACTAATTATTCTACTGTGCTGTCAGGGGTAGGGATCACAGACATCTTCCCTCCTTTTCTATGGTTTGAGGTTAACATTTGAAATGTGTGGAGACATTTTGGTGGGTTGTGGTGCTACTGGCATCTAGTGGGTAGAGGCTAGTGATGCTGCTAAACACTTCACACAATGCACAGGACGGCTCCTACAACCAAAAATTATCCAGTCTAAAAATGTCAATAGTTGCAAGGTTGAGAAATCATGCTCTAAGGTAAGTAAAACATTGGTCTTCCATTCTTTAGAATTATCTATCTCCTTTTAGTCCAAAGAACCAATGTCAAGACCCTTTAGGCATGGTTCAAGACATAGGTGTCGAGTCTGGGATCAGTGGTGTGGACTAGGTCTTGTCCAATACTGATCACAATGCATTTATTTTTATACCTTCAGTTTCATTGCTTTACATTACTTTCAAGCAGAAGTTCAATTGTTATATAAAAGAAGTTCCAGATGAGGCACACGACTCTCCTTACTCAACACCATTTACTATGTCAGATAAAATGAAAATGCATTCATATGACCACAGCATTCAGCAGTCACTTCATATGGGGCCATAGAGAGAAGGCACAAAAAATTTGCACTGTACTAATGGGGCCCAGGTGCCCATTGTATGGGTTCAATGATTAGTCTGAATTGATCACAAATACTTCTGAAAGAGTCACTAGTGTCAATTCCCTAAATCGACATCAGAGGGGCCTCAAAACTGGATGAAGAGAGTCAACAGCTCTTAAAATATACAGGGCAAAGAATAAGCATGCTGTGATCTAACATAAAAACGCTGAGAATGGCTCCTCTTCAGTAACCCATGAGGATGAGACTTTCTTTCCAGTAGTCGTGGTAAGCTACTCTAAACTCTTTCTCATTCAACTAGCCCTGCCTAAATATCTGGATTTGCCAGACAGCTGGTTAGCGTTAGAGATGCTATCCATGGCTACTCAACCCAGGTTCTCTTTATGCATAGCTGATTGGCCAAAATCATAATTGGAACCATAAACTTGGCTGAAGTCACATTTTGCTCCAACCAGTTGAACTCATCAATTCAGTACAGGGCCACTCAAACACAAAAGAGTCGACCAAAACAGCCCTTGATGACATTCCATCACAGAAATGCAGTTTACATAATAGACTTGAACCGCGTAAATCCATGCAGTTCAAAAACCCCACCAAATTCAACCATTATGCTCCATGGAAGATGCATTCGCTTTAGTTCATTCTGTCTCTTACCTCTGTCTCTGTTTTTCTCCTTCCCTAGTGAATCCAGTTTCTTTCTCAAAGACTTCTTTCTCTTTTGTCCATCTGTAAATGTTAAAAGAGTGAAGAGTTGTAAAAACAAGCTTATAGGTGATATTTTACATTATCAATAACTATACTTGAGCAAAAGCATGCCTTCTCACTTACTTCACTCATAATGTGGCAGTTTAAACAGAGTAACAGCTCTGAAAATACATGAAATTCCCTGATTTGAATCGCACACATCTCAAAAATCTTGGTGTATGCCCTTCAACTTTGTTTCAATCGTGGAAAGTACAGGAAACTTACCTCCTTTGGGAGCAATTTACAGTAATACCTCGGTTTGCAAGCATAATTCATTCCGGAAACAAACTACTCATATTGCAAGACATCGCTTGTTTACCAAGTCAAAATGTATTATTAGGTTGGTGCAAAAGTAATAGCAAAAACTGCTATTACTTTTGCACCAACCTAATAGAAATGTTTGCTCGTCTTGCAAACCAAGTTACTCGCAATCCAAGGTTTTACTCTAGTTTTGCCACTAGATATGTTTGTTTTTACTATTATGTGAGTCTCTTTCTAGTCTTCATATTTATGTAAATCAATGCCATCTTGAATCAAATCTCCATGAGAGATGAGTCAACAGCATATACGACTTTGGCATTCATGAGCTAGTAGAGTGCAACTGGAGAAGGAAATAAATTGTGGGGGGTCTACAGACACAGATCTAATTACTGCTGCAGCATTAACTGTGTGACTTTGGACAGTCTCAGGGTCCTCATCTATAAACTGGGACTTTCACAGGGTTGTTGTGAGAATTAAATGAAATGATGCATATAAAGGGCTTCACGGGGACCCTGGCACATAAGTTCAGAAGTATTTTCTTTTGGGGTTGCATAGTATTCCATAGCTATACCATAATTTAATTAACCATTCCTCCACTGATGGACATTGGAGTTGTTTCCAGTTTTTTCAGTATAATAAGTATGGCATATATTCTTTTAGCATCTTGTACTTGCAACAAATGTGCTTAATACTTCTGGTTAACTCACCAAATAATAAAGATACCACTCATATCAGTAGGCAGCTGCGATTGAATTCCTGGGATATTATCATAAAATACTGGCAGTCGTCATCGCAGGAATGCAGCTCGGGATTATGCAGCTGTCAGCTTAACATGTGGGAGGTGCAAATCGAGAGCCCACGCTGTGATCAAATAGGGGACACACAGCCCTTGCAGCAAGGAAACCGAGGTTTAAAAAGGGGGATTAAGAATTGTTTTCTTAAGGGGTACACTAAAAACTGTAGTAAAGAAAGAGACTCAGACCAATAAACTGTAAAAGCAAGACTGATAACATGAAAAGACAGTAAGCATTCTTAAACAGAAATGAGCATTCCTGGGATCCTACGGGCTGCAGATGTTCTCAACTCTTCCTCCCTGAATTTTTGGAGGCAAAAGATATCACAATATAATCACATTCAATCCCGCCTTCTTTTCAGAAAGCAAAAAATTATTTCAAAAAATGACTCTCCTACCATAAAACGGGAATAGCTTTTAAGTCTTCACTCCTGCAGTTGTGAGATTGGCACAGGGGAAAATTATGGAAATCAGTTGCAATTGCGGCAAAGAGCCATCAACCTCTTTCATCCTGTAAATGTTCTTACCTTTGGTGTCTAAAGACGATCTAACTATAGGGCCTACCATGATTTATTATATACATACAGACTATAAGCATACTAACTGCACAAGATTCTAATCTGTTCTCCAAACAGGACTGACGGGTCTTCAACTTTGTAGCTCTTTGTTCATCACTCATTCATATCACCAAAAATATTTGTAACGAGAGTATATGTCTTTAAAAAATTCCTATCATTCCTTTATTTTAATAGTTGGCCAAGAAGAATAACAAACTATATGTAAAAGCATAAGAGATTTATTTTTTATAAGTAGTGGGCAGATCCTAAAATTAAAATAAGTTGTCAAAGAACCACAATACATGTAGGATAGGGGGCATTTTCTTTTAAGATAGAGTGTTTTCTTTTTAACTGCTCTTAATTAGGGAATATATCATATATGTAGAGGTGTATGAATATAAATGTACAGTTTAAATAATAATTAGGGGGCAACTCTCACATAACCATCAGCCAAGCTCAGATGTACACTACTGTTAGCACGGAGGCCAGCTCCCTGCACGCCTCCCTCCCCCTCCCCCAAGGCCATCACTGGTCTGACTTTTGCAATAATACATTTTCTACTTTTCTTTACACTATTATCATTGATGTATGCATTTATAATGAATATAGTTTTGTTCTTCCTGCTTTTGAATTCACTCAGATGGAATCACACGATAGGTATTCTTTCTTGCCACATTTATTTCATTCATCAACATCAACACTTCCTGAAATTCATCCTGTTGAGGCAGGTAGGTGGATGTCTCTCATTTTGATAGTGCTTTCTTGTATGAATATACCACAGTTAATTTACCCATTGAACTGTTGATGGAAATTTGAGTCATTTCAAGCTTGGGACTATTAGGAACCATGTTTTTGAAAACTTTTGTTCATATCTTTTTATATATGAGGTGTGATCAAAACATGGTGAATGTTTAAATTTAAAAAAAAGTATTACAGTAAAAGACACATTGCCATTAATACCCCTCAAAACCCTCTCCCTTGCTTCAAACAGACTTATCCCCTCATTCTTGCCACTTTCTGAAGCAGTTCTGGAAGTCCTCTTTTGTGAGTGTCTTTAGTTACACTGTCGTGGCTGCCTCGATGTCCTGAATCGATTCAAAATGTTTACCTTTCATAGTCATTTTGACTTTGGGGAAGAGCCAGAAGTCGCACGGTTCCAGATCCAGTGAATAACGTGGATGAGGACACACCGTAATGTTTTTATTTGACATAAATTGCAGTACAAGAAGCGATGTGTGACACAGAGCATTGTCCTGATGGAGATGAAGTAAAGACACTCACGAAAGAGGACTTCCAGAACTGCTTCAGAAAGTGGCAAGAATGATGGAATAAGTGTGTTCGAAGCGAGGGGGAGTATTTTGAGGGGGATTCATGGCAATGTGTCTTCTACTGTAATAATTTTTTTTAATTTAAACATTCACTGTATCTTTTGATCACACCCATACATATACAAGAATTGCTCTAAGACAGTGATTCTTAAAAGAGTGGTTCTAGGACCAGTAGCATCAGTATTGCCTGGGAACTTCTTAGAGATGTAAATTCTACAGTCGCACCCCAGACCTACTGAGCCAGGAACTCTGGGGTGGGGCCCAGCAGTGTGTGTTTAATCAAGACCTCCGGGGGATTCTTGTTCACACTAAAGAGAACCACAGCTCTAGGGGATTTATGTAGAAGGTGTAATGCCAGGCCAGCGTATATGCAATGTTAGGCTTTAGCAGGTAATGCTGAACTGCTTTCCAAGTCATTTTGCTAATTTACATTCCCACCAATATGAGAGCTTACATAGTCTCACAAGGATAATGTGGACTTCAGACTCCAAAACTCCAAACAATATATCAAAGCATCCTTATAGGAAAAAATGTGATCTTTGTTGAATACTGGCCTACAACTAAAAAAAACACAACAAATGCTTAACTATTTACAACAAATATTATCTTTTTCACTTAATTAGACAGAGATGAATGTTATTAAGAGGAACTAGACAAAATTATGGGCGATGTGCAATAATGTGAAATGATGCATTGCTTTAGCATGCCATTTTGCCACTTAAAATCCTCAGGAAAATGACAAGAGCTGAGAAATGAGACTGCTCGCACTTTCTCTTGTGATCAATCAGCAGTTTGCTTATTGAGCTCCAGTTTTTGAAGAGTGTCTTTTGTTCCCACAAACACAGAAATCCTGCACAAGAGACTCCTGTATGACGTGTAACCATACAAAACAGTTTATGGTCAGCCAGTTCCTTGCATGGCAATTAGTGTGATAAGTTGAAAAGTTCCATTCCACCTTTTACAGAAATTTAAGCTTCCTCACTATTAATGCTGTGCAGCCATGTTTTATAGTACCAGTGGTGATGAGGGCGTGCGTGCTAACTGCTCCCAGGGTGTGCAATGTCTTACAGACAACAGTGGCCTGTACAGAGAACTTGGGTCACACATCCTGATTAAAGGTATCTGGGAAGAGGCACCTGGGGATTGGACTCCATGCACCCACTTGTCACCTCATTAGTGTGCCCCAGGAGACCATGTCCGGGTGGGAAACCCCACAGACATACATGCCACAGTAGCAGATGGCGAGGCAGTAAGCCCTCCACATCCTCGTGACCCCAAAGCAAAAGAACTATCATTGTGAAGTGTGGTTGGTGACTCTGGGGGTCCTCTTGGGGCAGGTCAATATCAATATGGTCTGGAGGGTTGAGAACAAGAAAACAGGAGACTGCCCCTCTAGGCCATGCTTTTCATAGACTCATTCGCTGTCAGGTGGAGTTCCATTTTAAGGCTTGTTTGTTTCTCTAGTTAGACCGGAAGCTCTCTGAGGGCAGAACCATGCCTCCTAGGCTCCTGCCTCCCCTCCAAGTACGTAGCACAGAGTGAGGTGCGCCATGAGGACCGGTCAGCACTGCGCATGGCCAGAAGTCCGGGGGAGGTTTGGAGTTGGCTCTGAGAGAACCCAGGATGAATACAGTATATATCTCCTAATTGTAAGGTGATCAGATTTGGAGAATGTGGGTAATAAAACAGTAGTTTCCATATTAAATTGGTTGTAGAGACAATAATAAAAATATTGTCTAAGTTAAGACTCATTTTTTGTGATAGATGGAAGAGTAAGGGTAGCTTTGGGGGAATAGCTATTTCCTGAAAGGGGGCATGAAGGCGCCTTCTGGGGTGCTGAGGATGTTCTAGATCCTGATCTGGTTGGTGGTTACATAACGTGTTCATGTGAAAAACCCACTGAGCTGGACTTGTACACATTCATATTTATGCGCATTCCTTTCTAGATATGTCATTCCTCAATGAAAGTAATAATAAGAAGAAAAGACTTCACCACTTTTGCAGAATGGCACCAACATACAATTACATGAACTGAATGGGACT